CTCTCGTTTTTATGTATTTTCTGTTTTTATTGTTTCGTTTTTAAACTGTTCTTTTATTGCTTTTATTTGTTTTGAACCTGGACCTTGAGTCTGTAATAAAGTGTCATCATCATCATATTGAGTTTAAAAACATTATAACATTGGCAACTTGATTACATTTTAATGACAGGACTAAGAGGCCCTTAGCACCTGTGCCTGTTACTTGAAAGGTGGTCCCTAACCTGCTTCCACAGCCATTCTGATCAACAATAATAGCACGCCTATTTAGGGACAGTCCTAGACAGGTATTTTGTCTTATACATTCTTCATAGCCTTTTGTTTTCATGCAGTAAGATAGTTTTTGTCCTTGTAAAACGGGGCTCTTGTTCATTAATATGCCATGTATATAGTGCAGACAAGGTTTAATTTAAAATAACTGCCTATACTGAAAACATCTAAATGTGTTGACTGCAGCATTCATTTATGATGTAGACTGAGACGGTTGTGTGTACAGACCAAACCTATCATGGTAGGAACATTTGCTCAGAACACCACCAGTTAGCAAGATTTCAGACTTAAGTTGCTTCTCGAGTTTTTTCGAGGAAACATAATGAGACAGAAAATCCTGGGGTTACATTCAAAGCTCAGTAATACAAAAAAAGCTAAAAATCAATTCCAAAGCCTGTGGTCAAAGCCATAGCCTTAAGTTAGTTGGTAACTTCCATCAGTTGTCCTAATCATTTCTGTCATTATGTACCCATTTGACATTTGTGGACAAGTTTTATTGAATCGTATTATAGTGAAGCTCCATTCACTGCTTACAGAGTGACTGCAGGGTTGAACTGGCACCTCTCTGACACTGTCTGAACAAAAGGTTCATGCCATATAGTTAGTACATTTAGGATTTATCACACAATTGTTGCATTACACTGTATGTGTTTTTCACAGTTTCAGTTCATAATGACCATTATAAAAATGTAATTTAATTGATCAATCATGTCATTACATTACATAATTAGTTTTACACTAGGTAGATGCATTTTTCACGCAGCAAAGAGAACTCTTTTCTATCAAATGAGTCGCTTAAGTTGCACATCACGCATGGACCTTGTTGTTTTATGCTTTATGTCAATTTCTGCTTGCGCATTAAGTGCAATGTAATCTCCCCTACAGTTATTTTCTATTGCTAACTTTTGTCAAACTCGTGTCTGTAAAGCCCTCACACTACAGGATCATCTGGACTCCTAATCGGTTCCGAGCATCCTGGAGTCGGGAACATCCCCTCCAGTCAACGGGAAGTGCAAATCAGACCCCAAATCTGCCTGATTCTCCTGTAGTGTGGGGCTAGCATAAGGAACCCTGCACAGCCTGCTAACTGACATACATGCCTTTGTCCACTTTAGCTCCTTTAGGTATGTGTATGCAATGAAGAAGTGTGTGGAGGACCAGGAACCAACATTTGCTCCCCAGCAACCTCAGTCACGCCATCCCCCAGGTCAAAGTATCACAGAGAGCTTCCAACACCGGGCCCTCGCCCCGGCCCCTGCTGTTATAGAGACAGCCACAGACAACATGCAGCCATCCAATGGCATCCAGTATTCTCTCCCCCAGGGCTACCAGGTATGAGATTATCAGTGCAGCTGGCTTAAACAACAGCCTCTGGTGTAGTTCTTATTTTTACTAGGGTTATAGATGAATATTTGCCTAGCACCAAATTGCAGTAAATCTTTGTCTTTAGCTTAGAATAACTAACTAGAGATGTCCCAGGCCTGTCCTAAGGTTCAGTGACAGGGTTGGCACTTTTTTCCCAAAGGATCAGTATCTGCTGAAGTAAATCTAGTCAAATAGAGACTGTTCTTTTCCTTTACTCTACTGCTGCAGTTTTAAACCTGGCGGTCTCTACTCCCCCTGTCCTCCTCCTGGATTGCTGCTCACAGCCACGCACAGTGGACTGGAGCAGACAGGAGGGTATATTTTACTTGAGTCATCCATGATGTTTTTTAACCACACATGCAACAAAATCTGGCACTAATGAAGATAGTAAGAACAATTGATCAAACATCTTTTGAATAGTTTGAAATGAAGCTAGCAGCATTATGACACCTTTGCCACTTGGCCCATGGTCCCATTTTTTTGCTTCTAATTCAGTATAAGTGTATGTTTATACAATGCTTGCTACAGTTACTTTAGCAAATTATTGTCAACAAGCTGAAAACAAATGGTAATTTTGTGTAGCTTATGAGTCAAAACTAGCTGACAATGTAAAGTTTTGTTTTGTTTGGGTTTTTTTTTTCCAGATCTGTGGTTGAGACAAACCATCTTTGTGGTTCATCCAACAAAATTATCCAACAGCATATATTGTCTTTTCACAGTTGATGGAGGTGAAGGAGAAAAGTTTGGAGGGTTCTTTAAAGGGTGATAGACAAGACATCAGATGTTGCAGCCCCATACTTTGTCTTTACTGATGATCTAAAACTTGCTCCTACAGTGAAATAATCAGAAATATGTGTTTGTATGTTAGCTGTCTGTTAGTGGTTCATCTAAAAGGCACAGCATCTGAGTTTAACATTTATTGAAAACTAGGGCTGCCCCCAAATAGTCGAGTCATCAGTTGAGAGACCTGTCAGTCGACTGAGACTCTTCTAGTCGACTTTGTTTTTATTTTATTATATTTAATTTTTTGTCAGCCATTGTGCACTACAACAGAAGGCAGCCCCAGCCCAGTAGTTTGTTGTCGTCTTCTCGTTTTGCTGTGCCAAATACCAATGCCAATTGGTATTTGGTTGGATCTGTTTAGCAAATTGCAGAACAAGGAGAAAATGAAAACACAACCCACTAGTACAAGCCACATAAAGGTGAGATTTGTACTTTATTAGAAGTGTTTTCAAACATTGTGGTGTACTTTTACAAGAGAAAAGACTTAAACGGTCGTGTCCATACGCTGTGGTTAACTGACGGGAGAAACTTAAACTTGTTGGTAAACTGGCCTATAAGAGCATTGTTTCAACAGAAATACAAGTGTGCTGCCTGTCTCGTTATTCCGACAAATCCATATGGCACCTTGACATTATATATCACTTTAAATATGTCATAAATATTGCATCATATGCAGCTGACTTATTGGTTTTCCTAAATGCTCAGAAATGTGTATGTTCCTGTCACTCTTGCATTTAAATACTGATGTTAATGTGGTCTGTTATTAGTGATGTTCATGCCAGTTGATTTTCTGACAGCCTAGGCTATATATTTATTAAAAGAAAGAATAAAAACAAATAGTTGAATTGTCGCACTGTAGAGCTGGCTGATAAGATCCTTAGTCAGGTACAGCCCTATTAAAAACTAGGTGAATCTTGCATTGTGCTTGACAGCGCACCGATTGAGTTTTAAAGACGCCTTTATTTAGTGTAGTTGTATTAACATGTACAATAATTTTTGCAAGTTTACCCAGGTTATTTTTAAGCTTCATGGAGCCTAAAATTCTATTATATTGCTTCCTAAAAAGGTGCCTACAATTCCTCAGAGCACAAGTGGACATGGACACACCAATACTGCACCTCATGTTGGTCCCCACACACACAGTCTATCAGTTCAGTCTCAGGGTCCTGCAGTGGTCCAAAGTCATGTTCATGCACCCACCCCCATGAATTCAACCCAAGGACAGCAACAGTTTCAACGACTGAAGGTATGAACAAATAAACTTTAAAATATACTCATCAAAGTCAACCAGTGAAATAAATGTTTTTTTGTTTGATATACATGCAATATTAAGCTGGTAGTATTGACTTTTCTGATCCCAAATTCATTTTTATTCTCTGTTCAGGGGTTACATAATACCCGATTTAGGATGGAGAAATGTGGCACTGATTTTTCACTTTTTACTTTGAAGGTTGAAGATGCACTGTCCTATCTGGATCAAGTGAAGCTACAGTTTGGCAATCAGCCACAAGTTTATAATGATTTTCTTGATATTATGAAAGAGTTCAAGTCACAGAGGTGAGCTCTATTTTTTTCTGTTTTCCCTAAGAAAACCCATGGCTAGTACTTCTGTGTCTCAAGTTTTAACATGTAACATGCAGCTGTGGACCCACCTGATGATGAATCACATACTAAATTACTGTTGTTTCTTTTGTTACTACAGGATGGACACTCCTGAAGTCATTAACCGTGTTTCCCAGCTCTTCAAGGGCCACCCTGACCTCATTATGGGTTTTAACGCTTTCTTGCCACCCGGTTATAAGATTGAGGTTCAAACCAACGGATAATGGGGGGCCTGTACTTGGGATGTAGCAACTCCTCAAGTAGGTGATTTCAAAACAAGATCTGATAAATACAAATACAGTAGCTAATTACAATAAACACAGATAGATTTGACCTTCTACAAACATTTTGTGGTTTATAAGTGAAATTATTTTCATTAAAGTAACCAAAAGAAACCGATTCATCATTCTGACCGCTTCTTTTTTATTGGCCTTTATCAGGTAATCCAAATCAAATTCTCTAGCACTATGATGTGGCCTGTGGCTTTAAATATATTTTTAGCATTTGAACATATTTCTGAGTTTGAACTGGAAAACAGCCATCTTCTACTGGCACTGTTAAGTGAACATTATTTATTGGATATTTTGATTAAATATTTGGATGTGTATAGTCAAATACTTGCTTTCTTTGCTTTCTTGTTCTATTTATAATACTATATATCTGACATTTAACAATACAGCACAGAAAGTCACTCCACCATATTTCTCTGCAAAAAGCAAATGTTTGTCTTGTCCAACTTTGTCTTCAAGGAGAATTGTTGGAATTTTTTCCCCAAATTTCTGATTTTTTTTCTGACACACAAACTAAATAGTAATTAAATTTACAAAAATTGTCACATAAATAGATTATGCAAAAATGTATACAGTACTTATGTGATCAGTATTGCCATGAACTAATTAAAGTAGTCTTGCACAGTCACTACTGCATACTCAAAACAAGTCAGACTAGATTTTAATATTAAATATATGTTTTTCCATTATAGTTAGTATAATGTATTGGAAATTGTGAAAATTGTTTGCTACAGGTCCCCGTTCAGGGACTAAGCGGTAGAAAATGAATGAATGAATGTTTGCTACAGAATGGTTTTAACACATGAAAATATAATGCTCCGTTTAATAATTCAACTAATGATCAAGAGCTTCTATTTATTACCAATGGCACAAGATGTCCTTGCTGCTGACGCCGGTCTGGCGTCTGTCAGTGTGTCACATATCAGCTGGGATATACTGTTAAATATTAATGAAGCAGACATACAAGGCTGGAAATGGAATCAGTGATATTATCAATATGCTGCTAAAGTCTGGGGGCTGACATATAGCTTTTAAAAAACAGGCACACTGACTGAAAGACTCCACTAATGAAAAGCGTCACACCAAATATTCTGGTTTCCCTAAGGTCAGGCAGCTGTTACTGTAAGCCATATCAGAAACGGGTGTCTCAGTAGAGTTACTGAGATAATCAGGCAATCAGAATCACATAATGCAATGATGTGTGGTTAAAATGACTTACTGTAACTGAATATTCTACATATGACACTTTTTGTGTAATATTGAGCAATTTACTGTTTAATTTAATGTAGTTTACTTTAAATGTTATTATATAGCACGTAAAGAGTAACCAGAATTTAAATCCTCCCAAAAACCTTATTGTACCAAAACAAAAATGACTCAAACATGGTAACACTTGATGTCCTCTTGCTTATAACACACTGTAATGTAGTTCAGTGCAGCTATAACGACATTTAGGTGCTTAATAATGTACAGTATTTGTTGGTAATCATAACTTCTCATATGAGGAGATATTATATAGTATATTTTATAGATATAAGGTTTGGAATTAACTGGGGCCATATCTATCATTAAGGACACAGAGAAAAAGTTTGTGTTGTTTTTAGAATTTTAGATCATGACAACCCGAGGAGAAGTTTACATTACACCATTACATAAACATTGCAGTACATTAGAGTCACTATTCTTACATGTGACCATTATAAGGCAAAAATCTAATAAAGAGATTTTAGTACTTGAATTATATTCTTGGTATAATGTGTTTTTAAGAAGCATTTAAACTGCCTTGATGAGAAGGCTTATTGGCTGCATGGCCACATCTCTGCAGATACTTGAACAGATGGTGTCAACAAATAAAAAGAAGAACAACAAAAAGGTAAGAATGATAAAGTTAAAATTCACAAATGTTATCCCCCTGGGATTTTGTAAAATGTTGATATTTCTCTCCGTGGGGAAGACATCTTTGCCTTTTAGCCAAAAAATGTTACTTGTTTATTTGAGAAGTCAACTTGTCTTAAACTCAAATGATGTTCAGTAGTTTAGCCTAAAACATTTTGGGCTGCTTTTGCAGGCTTTATGCCCATTGTGCACAACAATAATTTAGTTGAAGGAAACAAAACACAGAAGCACACATATGATCTCATACCAATATTATTTAGTTTTGTGACTTGATGTCATTTACCTTATATATCAGCTATGACATGGAAGTAGCCAAGTCACAATTAACAGTAGTTCATATTTATTATTTAATATGTACCACTATGATTTTAAGAGCTATGTAATGCATTCACTTTGTGAAACATAGGCTTACATTTTATGTGTAACTCTAATAAGCTACTTTATATAGCTTTTTACATGCCACTTAGTCAAACCAAATGCATGCTTTACAGCCCAAACCGAAAATGAATCTGTTAAGTATCGGGGGTAGCAAAATTATTCCTTTTCTGCACAAGCGTTCTTGAAGTATTACGTGCGCGTCACCGGCGACTCAATACAATCAATGCTCACTTCCTGTTGTGTTGCGCGCTCCTGTTTCTCTGACATTGCGCCTGCTCTCACGTGTTTTCAGTATATAAAAGGGTCCCAGTCTCTCACCATGTCCCGAGCGTCACCAGACAAACGCCGAAAAATGGAGTCCGCGCTGACCCAGCTGAAGAAGCACACTGTGGTGGTGGCAGACACTGGGGATTTTAACGGTAAAACCTTCCTTTTATCTCATGCTAATGTTAGCTACTTAGCACGCAACTGACCAGGAAGGATGCAGTTTAATATGAATGACCGCGGTGTCAGTATTGTTGCGCAGTCAAATGTTATCATCAGTCTCACTCTATTCAGACAGACTGGCGAATGTTAACGAAGCTAACCAATTTTTACAAAAGGTTTTGTGTTAGTTGCCAATATGATAATCCTGTAACTTGTTAGTAACGGTACCTGATTTAGCATTAGCAAAAGCTAGATAACAGACATGGGGTCTTTGCATACAGTTATTTTGTTTACATTATCCTCATCATTCACACAAAGACATAAATTGAACCTAGTAACGTAATAACTGGCACTTAACATATACACGAGGTTGATGACCGAAACAACTTAAATTGCAGACGTGCACCCTGAAGTAACATGCATCAAGTTGTAATATATGGTTTTGGGTTTTTTTTTTTTTTGTTTTTTTTTCTTCCTCATTCCTCGTTTGTCCCTTTGACGCCATAGAGGAAGAGGTCTGTTTCTCAACAGGTCAGAAAGTGGAACAGTGTGTGCAGTAACACTATTACATAGTGATGCAAACCAGACAGTTCCTCGTGCACAGCTTGCAGACTCAGGATGACATGACAAAACTGATTTGTGAGTCTGCAGCCTGGCGGTACATTGGACAGCTGTTCTATACTCGTTGCACAGCCGGAATGGTGGGCTTTTGCATTAAGGTAAATTTTTTTTACTGTAGATTAATTTGAAGACTGGGTTTTTCCTTTTTGTTTGATTATTATTTTGCCAATAAAATATATAAAATGCTGGGTAACCCCTCTTAAAATTTGCTACAGCCCATGGTGACCATTACATTGTCCAACAAACATTCTAAAGCCCAAAGATATTTAGTTTACCATCATGTATTTAAAAGAAAAGCATGAGATTGTCAGATTTGAGGAACTGCAATCTGCAAACTATTGTCAGTTTTACTTAAATTATTAATATACAAACTATTACTCAGCTGTCAACATATTTACCAGTTGTTGAATGACCAATTTTAGTTTACATAACCTTTTTTGTATTTCACTAAACGGCATAATTTATTTTAGACAAATGATACTGTGAGGCATGCAAAAACAAACTGCTTTAAATTTAGTTAAGTTCATTAACGTGGGAATTGAATAGCCTAATCAGTTAGTCAATTGCCAGAAAAATAATTGACTTTTTTTTTTAAATAAAGACTCACTGTAGTTATTATAAAGCTCATGCGTTATTAGGCATGAGTTGGGGGGTTGGGCAGCAGAGAGACACTACATCCTGTCACATTTTCACTTGATTTGTCAATTTGTAAAATCTTAATTAATGCATCTTTAATTTGTATAGCTATTGTACTTAAGTGCACCAGTGGAGACTGACAGACTAATAAGAAACAACAAATCTAAGCAAGAAAACAATGTAGACTGTTTGAAGTCACCTTGGACAGTGTTTTTTTTTTTTTAATTAATATCCAACACATCACCTGTGTCTGTCACACAGTGCCAATTAACAGTTTCGTCACATATTTCCCACATAATGAATGGGGGGGATTTAGCCTTGATAATTTTTATGGGATTAAGTGGGTTGCGGAGAGGCAGACAGAAAAGAGGGGAGAGGACCTGTAACATAGGTTGGCGGCCAGACTTGATTTTTCTGGCGTGTATATAGTACACTGCACCGTAATCATTCAGCTATTGATGCGACCCACTCTGTCAGTCCTCTAATTGAAAAAGCAAGGATGTTGTACAGAGTTTGTGACAGGGATGGATTTGTTAATCAAGATGTATGTAGCCATTTGTTACTCTTTTATTTTTTTGGTGAAGGCTTGTTTACATACTAATGTGTGTCTGGTTTATGCAATGAAGCTTTTACATGAATGTTGTAACATTTCTTGGGTTTCACTTATTTCAAATTTTGTACATGTTCAAATCAGACAGCAGCACTTCTGATATATAAGAACATGGTCAAATGTGGTGTAAAACCACAGTCTTGCTTCATCTACATTTGTGAGGTAAAAGGTTCTCGGAAAGATTCTGAAACTGTTATGGAGGGGGTCTTATGAAATTTTTGCACAAGACTGCTTGGTAAGTTATTAGGCTGAACAGTTATTGATGGTTTGAAGAAGACGGATTTAGAGAAGGTTCCTTATCAGCAAGTCTTAGGTGAATGTGATGTTTGTCATAGAATTGTTCACAATGTACACACCACATTTAGATTAAAACAGTAATCTGACCAAGAATGCATTGAGAAGTTCAGTTTAGTCAGTTACGCTTATTAGGAATGGAAGTTTGGTTTCATTTGGTGTTTTACCATCTCCCTTCACCACAGTGTTTACAGAATTATGTTTATAGAAAGCTGGCTTTCTACACAAATGTGGCATGACTAGCAGCAAATAGGATGGTTCACTGCTTGCTTTTGCACAGCCCTCTGGACATTATTTAATTTATTTAAACCGAGTCGAGTCCTTGTTATCCGAGTCAGTCATCAAGGTCAACATTAAATACAACTGATGCAGCGCTTGCCTTTTTATATTCCAAACAGTGTATTGCATCACCATATTGCTCAGCAATTTGATACATAAAAATGCTTTATTGAAAGACGGGAGTGTATGCTTCAGTGGAAGCATTGTTCACATGAACCGGTTTTAATATCAGTATCCGGTATCTTAGGCCAAACTATTATGGCCTATTACCAAAAAAAGAAGTCCTTGTCTTCAACTTCTGAGTCTGAACTTGCACAGAAAAATCTGGACTACTGTTATTTAGTTGTTGGGGTTTTTATTTATTTTTATACTTGAAGCAATCATTTTGTCTAGTTGGTGACATTATCAGATGAAATAATAAATGTCATGAGTGCCAGTTTGGCTATAAAGTTATAGCCTAATAAAGGAACAGTTTAAGACCTTATGTCTTATATAGTAGACAGACCAGATGCTGTCACTTTGGAATACTACTGGGACAGCACTTTAACTGTGTAGCATTTTCTTTCCTGCAGAACGATCCAGTTCTTTTTTTGGAGGGGTGGGAGAAAGAGAACTGATTACAGAACAGAGTCGGGCTTTGTTCTCGGGCTGAAGAGATGGCAGCACTGACTGGACCTGGCTGCCATCAGAAAGTTCTGTACATAAGTTTAATATTATGAGAAGATTTTTATTCATCAGAGATTTGCACTAGCTGGTGGTTAATCTCTCATTGTTTTGTTTTTTCATTAATTTTAGATAGTTTGGGCAGTTTTTATTAAGTATAGGAGTCCAAATATTCCCTGCATCATTTAATTAACATTTTGTAATTAATAAGACTATTGAATCATTGCCCTATCAAACCTTTTTTCTTCCTTTAGATGGTGTTAAACTGCGTATTCTTTGTGGGACAATAACAGTTTTTTAGGAGATGGTGCTATAAGTGCTTTTGTACAGTAGAGGGCAACAGTTTCTATCTGACGGCAGCAGCACACTGTACATTCAGCATGCCAGAGTTCTCTGTGTGACTCTTTCTGATGTTGTTTACTGAAATTCAGACAAAATCCACATTTGAATGAATAGATTCAAGGGAAAAATCTCATTATGATGCAGTATCTCAACAAGAGAACTGGGTTCAGACCAAGATTTAGTTTAACAGATTATGTTAGCATGGACTCATGTGGGAGGGGTTAATTATTGACAAAAGAAACCCCCTCCCCCCCCCCCTGACAAAACTAGAAACCACATTTTGTGTGTGTGTGTGTCTTTGTGTCCGCCCTGACCGTATATTATTTCAGGGACTGAGATGAACAGTTACATTTTAATCAGAGCACCATTTTGAATGCCACTTGTGTCTAGGACTATTCTCACCAAATTAAATGGACAAAGGAACAGATCCTAGGTTTGTTGAGATGATTAATATTTATAAGAAAAGGCCACAGTAGGAGAAACCAGGTTATTGGTTTGTGTGTGTGATTTTGTGCTGTCTTCCCTCCCTGCAGCCATTGATGAGTACAAGCCTCAAGATGCCACCACTAACCCATCTCTTATCCTGGCTGCTGCTAAGATGCCAGCCTACCAGCACCTGTTGGATCAGGCCATTAAATACGGCATCGCCAAAGATGGGTAAGTGGTTGTGCGCAAATGACAACTGAAACAAACATCTCAAAATTAAGCCATTCTTTAGTTGTGTACCTGTTGGATTACACTAGAGGTGAAACCTGATTGTAAACAGCACTTAAGTACAAGTTATTTGCAGAAGATGTGAAACATTTTATGTGATTTTGCAGATGTTGGATAGTACACAGCTCCTTAGTGAAATTAAATGTTTAATTGGGGCTGTGACCTTGCACCTTACCAAAGTTCAGACAGCTGATCTGTCATATTTGCAGTCATTACACAGTGTCCTATTTCATAAAATTCCCCTTTTTCAGCAGAACTCGGACATTAAGTTGACCAGATCATAATGTTTCCTTCTCTGTTCAGAACTGAAGAGGAACAGGTAGCCAACACCATGGACAAGCTGTTTGTGACTTTTGGGCTAGAGATCCTCAAGAAGGTCCCAGGCAGAGTCTCTACTGAGGTGGATGCCAGGTATGCATAAATTATGACAGGAAGTTTGTGTACTATCTTGAACTTTCCAAAATGACACAGTAGGCTGAGAGAAACCTAAACTGCATACAGTATGACATAAGGCTAAACAAGCGCCTGGAGTTCGTTAATGTCAGGTAATGATAAGTAATCACATGATTATATTTACTTTAATTTCTTTGGTAGATTATAGTTAACTGCTTTATAATTTGTATTTTATATTTTCATATATTGTACTTAAATCTCCACTCACAACATTGTTTTATGTCTATAAATTAAGGATGGAATTTTAAGTAATTTCTTTAATCAGTTGGCAGGCACATTAAAGATCAATAATTTGATTAGTTATTGGGGAAAATCTTTAAAAGTAATTTTTGCTTGAAGTAAACTAGACTGCATTTCCACATTACTTCTACCTAAAACGCTTTACGTTTGCTTATCAGACGAAGCTGCCATGTAAACCGCTGGCCTCACCATCAGGAGTAATTGGAGTTCAATGTG